TTCATAATAAAGAAGTGTGAACAATTTAATGAATCATTTTGTATTATTTCATCATACTCCCATGTAAAAAATAGTGAATCTTTGGCTATATTAGAAATGATGAAAAATTTGTTTAATAATAAGATTTATCCATGCGACAAGAAACAAAGTCACCTAGCATCATTAGATATTTAGATTGTTTATCACATCTTTGCTATAACCATTGCAACTATATTTAATTTACACCAGTAGATTGTTTATCTTACACGCACAGTCATATTGAAGTCCATGAAATTTATTATCTTAAATTGTAACATTGGGAATTTGGGATGTTACACCAACTGGAGAAATTAAATGCGATAAAATACTCCACTGGCATAAATATATTGACCAGCTCGTCCATGTAGCCCTACAATCTTTCCACCCTTGGGAATTGCACTATTGAATGGTTCACCGCCGCCCGAACCGTATCGTCCATACGTATTGATGAAATTTGTTCAAAATGTGATGGATCTAATCACAACATAGTTGGCATAAAATCCATAAGTTCCACTTATTTGTGTCAACATCTCCACCTTTCCATCAATATTAATCTACATGAGCATCCAATACATAACTTATTAGTCCATTTATTACCATATTGAATTGGCTGCACCAAAAAGAAAGCTACATCAAAAGATATGGAGTTGGTTGAAGTGTAGGAATATAACCTGGCTTGTTCTATAACCACCACAACCTCCAACTTTTAAAGTCTTCAACGAACGATCCGATTTAAGGCTAGTGAAATGCAAAGAATCATTAACTTCACAATTAACAACGATGATCTGCTTTATTGTCCCATCAAATTTGAAATTCCATGGATTTCCTCCTGTTAAGACCTGAGGTTCCATCCTAAAAGGTCAACTTAGAGGAATAACCCAAAGCCTTATATAGTGTTTTGTTATTTTATAGCTTTCCAGTGTAGGACAAATACTTCAACACGTCCCCTTAGCCCGAACCGGGCTGTACAATATCGGGGTGTATAAATGGGCCAAACAGACCCTTAACAAACTACCGGTAATCATGGGTGCTAAACAAGCCGTCAAACCACAACCGGAATTGGCTCTGATACCATGTTAAGACCCGGGGTTCCATCTTAAAAGGTCAAACTGTTAGGAGGAATAACCCAAAGTCTTATATAGTGTTTTATTATTTTATAGCTTTCCGATGTGAGACAAATACTTCAACACCTCAGATGCCTCCCCATGCTGCCACTTTAATATTCTCAGGCACTAGCTCATAGCTTTTACATGCTTAGGGATTTTCACGGAATGTACTGGCAAATCTGAATGCATATTACTGGCATTAGTTAGTTAAGCTTAACCCCAATTAAACTGCTACATTAACACTCGTATAATAAAGCGTATGGAGTATATATATAGAAGTTATCTAGCTAAGTTCAACTAAGGTTCTTTAAACACTACTACATTGTTTGATTCTACAACAACTAACATCCAAGTTAAGCAAGTAATTAGTATTGTTTCATTGTTTGTGCATTTGTTTATATTTTAATCCTGAGAGAGGTCAATTTCCGAAAATTAATTCTGATTCTGCTTTTAAAAAAGAAACAGAAACATATAATCAGTTCCGAACACTTCCTAAATAATCATGCGATATATTTTTCCTATATTTTCCTTCCATCCCATAAAACTAGATCAACAATAATAGAAAAGTTCGGATACTATTTTAATTATTATATCTATATTTTCCCTCATCCCACAAAATTAGGTCAATAAAAAAGTTGGATACAAATTTTAGTCATTATATATGTGTGAGCTTTATAACTTTTATACTTTTATCAAAGTACTTTAACAAAAAACATTTTAATGTAAGTTTCATTTTGGAAGTGATTTTATATTAAGATATATCGTTGATCAAACTTGAACATGACTAAGAAAAGTCAATATAGACAAGTTTTAAACTCATCATACTGTATACCTTACCCATATTTTGATACATTTTTTTTAATATCACACTGTATTTAGTACTATGCACTACTCCGTATATAATTTTGGAAAAATGGAAACAATTAATCCGACCTTTACTTGGTCTGCTTTAAATGATCCCTCTTTTTGATAATCCCTAAAAAATCCAACCTTTGTATAACATATTCTTTCTTCGGGCCGAGTGACAGGCAACCGGCTACAACTGTTTGTTTTTCAAACCATCGATCCATTAACTTATTAACTTAACGAACAAAACATACCCCTATGGTTTTTAACCTTCAACTAAAAATTATGTTGACTTCAAAAAAGATTATGACCTCTGAGCCGGCTGGAAGATGGAGGGACGGCGACGGGAGAGGGTGGAAGAGAACCCTGTATTTTGGGGTGACCCAAAACAGTGCCAACCTAAAAATTATGTTGACTTCAAAAATTATGTTGACTTCAAATGATTATGTACTGATACAGTTTTGGGGTGATCCGTTTTGATATGTATTTTGGAACGATCATGTACTCATTTGTTATGGAAAGTGGTTGGCACTGTTTTCAATACTTTTTATGTTGTACAGGAGTACCAAATTTCTGTGCAGTGGTTTCATTACATCGTTAACACAAACTTCATTACAAGCACCTGTTAAATTACAAGCTTCTTTATGATATTTGCACTAGTTATTGTGAATGTGGTCATTGAATGTTTAATGACTTGATTTCAAGTGATGCAACAGGAACATGGCCAGAGAGTTGGCATTTAGGGAAGGCCTTATGGTTGGTATACCATATTACCATCCGTAGATAAACAACACAATACATCATGGCTGAATTTAGCTAATTTACTAGTTGCACATAGCTAATACAGTAGACGCAATGAACTATCAACCATGCAGAATTGGCAAACCAAAAATAGACTGCACTAACCAATGGTTCAAACTCTAGAATTACATTGCGATATTCTGGGAAAGTAATGGTTCAAATTCTGGAATTACTTTGCCAAATTATGAAAAAACATTGGTTCAAATTCTGGAATTACATTGCCAAATTCTGAAAAAACAGTGGTTCAAATTCTGGAATTACATTGCCAAATTCTAGAAAAACCATGATACAAAATCTAGAGTTACAATTTAGAATGGCTAATCACCTTACTACTAAAGTAATATTTATTCAAGATCAAGAATACAATGGAGAATCTCATTCCTTGAACACTTTAAATTTTCACTACGAAGTTCACAAACTTAATTTTTCAGTTGCTGCAATTCCTCTTTCCGTCTTTGATTTTTAACAAGTTGCTTGTTACTCTTCTTTTCCATCATCCTCTTTTCAAGCTATATGTCAAATGTGATTGGCTGTTTCAGAAATAAGTTGACTTCTTCAATTTGAGGTGATGAATACTCGTCAACACAATCTTACTTTCCACCCGAAGAAACTGCAACTTTCTTCCTAAACCACACAAACAAATTTTCTATGTAAGAAACTCAATTTTCATCCTGAATCACATAAATATTCTATTCATATCATCTAAGATTTCAGATTCATACTCAAAGAATAACAAATTAGAAATCAATCAAATGATACTGAAATCCAACTCAACATAAACCCTAATTTAATCTTGTATGTAAGAACATCAGTAAAGAAAAATAATTAAAACTTACTGGTCATTAAGAGCAACCATGAAACGTCCTTAAAACCGAATTGGTGTTCTAAATATTTTTTTTGTACAAGACTCATCTACACGGATGAATTCAAGAAGAAGGAATACAGAAGCCTGGTGCGAGAAGATAAAATCCTGGCGCGAATCAAGAAGCTTGTGAGAAATAAAAGAGAAACGAGGAAGAAAGAAGAGGATAGGCAGAAGGCTATAAACGGATTATTGATAAGTGAGATAACCGGTCATTAGAGCTTTAAAAACTTTAGACAACCGGTAAATACCATCACTGGACCGAAGAACGAAGACATTATACAAAGGTTGGATTTTTTATGAATTATTAAAAAGTGGGATTGTTTAAAGCAGACCGAGTAAAGGTCGGATTAATTATTTCCATTTTCACTATAATTTTATAAACGTTGGTTTTCAAAAAAAAATATATAAACATTGGCTGGTCTTTCTGACATTCGTCACATTCATGGTACGGTGTTGACACTAGCTGACCCATGACCTAGGCTCTAGACCGGGTCTCTCTCGGTACAATTCTTGTAAGATAGTGTATTAGTGTTGGAGTGCTTCTACATTATCAAACACCTTTTAAATAGATACTCCCTCCATCCCTTCTAACTTTCTCAACTTTCCTTTTTTGGATGTCCCACTAACTTTGCCACTTTCCCTTTTAAGTAAAGAATTTGTGGTTCCGGTTAATTCTCTCTCCTCTGCACAAATCTCAACCACACAGTTTTTACTTTATTAATCCCCATGCCGGTCAAATTTGGCAAAGTATTAAGGGACGGAGGGAGTAGTAGGGTAGGGTTTACATGAGAGTCACTGTGACGTGGTCAGAATTGAAAATACATCATCCATTCCTTCAACTCTTCAAGGCTTCAATCATGTGAACACTTTAAGCCAACAAAGTTGGAATATCATATTTGGACGCCTTTCCATTTTGTCATCCTCTCACACGAAACATATTTTTCGTATTCATTTTTTTTTATCTCGACACAATGAAACCATTTAAATCTTGGCATCCTTTCATAAATTAAACACCTCATACAAGTTGAAAACTGAACACGTCACATTTCTTGTTTTTGTGAGATAAATGACACCTAGTACGTTTTTTCGTAATATGCATGTATGATTGATTTGGAAGAGCAAAACTTAGTTTGAACATTAAACGTGGCATCAATATATAAAAGTCAACATTTTTTTGTCAATCAATAACAAAAGTCAATGTTTGCTATTGATAATTAATTCAAGTTTTAATAATTAAAATTTACATATTCAGAAACTATATTAAAATCTTTTTAAAGTTGTAAACTCCAAATCATAATATAATTCGAAATTGACATCATAACTAAACGAATAAAAAGAATCTGTTTGACAAAAAAAGTAAAATTTGCAAATCAAATGGGGAGGAAGGTAGTATTCTCTTGTACGTGAATAAAGCAAAAACATCAAATCCAGAACAATTAAACAAACTTACTTATAGAATGGGGAATACAACCAATGCCAAAAAACGGTACGAATACATGAAAGAAGGAAAGGCGGATATAAAGCTTAACCATATATACAATTAAGCTTCATATCTCTAAAGGCCTTTGAAAGAAACAGGGGATGACGATGAGGAGGGAGGATGGCACTGACAGGTAATAACAAGAGGTTGAACCTTTTGTCTAAGACTGGCAAATTTTTTGCATAGATTATCCAAGCGTTGGGTGTTTTTTAGAAGAGCATAATCACATCTTCCGGCAAGGAGTACGATGACCGGGCACCAGTAGCCGGCAACCATCCGTCCGTGGCTCGTTCTTTCGCTGTTAATGAGGAAGCATATTATCCATATCAGCTCCATCCCAAGCTCAACCATCACCCCTTCCCTGTCTCTATCTCTCAGCATCGAAAAATCTACCCTCTCCAGCGCCGCTTCAACAGCGCCTTTTGCTCCGTTTATGCTCTCTCCCATGGCTGCCAATAATCTGCATGTGTAATGACAACGGGAAAATATAAAGCTGCTGGGAGTCTGTTTGCATTCTGTACGGTAGTTTAAATTGAACAATATACTATACGTACGACGGTACGAGTATCAGAGTATATGCTCCCTCTCTTTGATTACTTTTGGTGTCGCTAATGTTTCTATTTTTGCTTTACTAACCCTCCGTATATTTCTTGGTAGCTTAGTCATATTTTTCAAACTCATGAATGTTACCATTTACGTAATATTTTTGAATGTAGAAACAATTATTAGATTGTTTGAATGAAAACGTAGAAGTTCTCCTAAAGTTTTGGAAGCAATTGTTTAGAATTTGAAAAAACGATTCTGATTTTAGTATTTTACTTATATATTATATATACTACGTATATAATAACAGAAAACTAATCAATTCCAAACACCTTTACAATGTGAACATTTCCTTTAAGTTTACTAATGTTTATCAATATTTCACGAAGAAATTATCCTAAATGAAACTAAAACATGGTTAAAACTCCAAAATAGGACCTGAAGTTTTAAATTGCCTAAATGAGACTCCTAATTACATTTTTACCCCAAATCCCCAAATCGCCTTTTGCCCAATCCCTTTGCATCGATCGTGAGACCTGCAAGTACTTCCTCCCTTGCGACTCAGCTGCCATGGACTCAGTTCAACCGCCCTCGATCACAACTCGACATGCTATAGTCGCCGATGCTTGCTCGATGCCGGCCGCCCCCTCTTCAACGATTATCGCATCGCCCCAACTCCACCAATGACGACCTCTGCAATTTTCCAGAAGAAGAAGAAGAGATGCGAGGCCATCGACGGCGGAACTAGCGATGCGAGGCCACAGTCGATGATGGGGGAGAAGCCTTCCATGGGAGGAAGAGATGTTCGGCGATGAATTTAAGAGTCGGCAGAGTGATGCGATGAATTGCAGTTTTTTTTTAATTAAAGGCAGTTTTGTCAGATTACCTCTTTTTAGTCCTATTTTTGCCAAATAAAACATAGCAGTCTTATATTTGCAATTCTACCTAATTTTAGTCCAATTTACGTAAATCACTCTATTTCACGCAAATATAACTTTTTCAATCACGCAAATAAGTTCACCTTTCTTTTTTGGTCAGTCTCTGAATTATGTTCCCACTTCCTTACACTTCCTTATTTGGCAAATTGTTTACATCAAAATAGTGCAAAACAATATCAAATAGTGTTCAAACATTGTCAAAACATTAAAAAATTTCTCCTAGTAAATTTATTTCCTTAATATGTGTGAAATTCATCTAGGAACTTGTTTCTAGGACGAAGGAAGTACTTTTTAATATACTATTTTATTACAACAGATCATACAAGACTTTACCATACTCCCTCCGTCCCACAAAATTTGGCCAAAGTTGACATTCACGTAGAATAATTAAGTAAAAAATGTGTGATTAAAATTTGTGCAGAGGAGAGAGAAATAATTTTAGCCATATATTTCTTACTTTAAATGAAAATTACAAAGTTATATGGGACCGGGAGAGTATTTAATTAGACCGACCCGACTTAAACAAACAAAATATGCCGGATCAAACATTGACAATTGTAAAAAGAGTCATACTCCTCTCCATTTCATTCTCTCCATTTACTCTCTCCATTTCTTTTCACTCTATCTCTCTCCTAAAATATAATAATCAAACCCCATATTTTATTTTTCCCTACCCCACCATTCCCCCATCTCTCTCTATTTCTCTCCTACTGAAAAATTCTGGAGAGGAGCAAAATTCCTGTAAAATACAAATAAACCAATGTCTAATTTTATAAACGTTGGTTTTCTAAAAAAAATTATAAACGTTGGCCGGATCTTTCTGACATTCATGGTGTTGACACTAGCTGACCCGTGACCTAAACTTTTCTAATTCTAAGGAGAGTGGTTCAAAATAATCTATTGCATACTACGCCAATAGCAAAGCAGTTTATCGTAGGGGTCAAACCAAAGATTCTAACTCGGGTAGGCTCCTAGTACGTGAGCCAGAGTCACCTTCTTTTCGAGGGAGTGTTCTAGCAAATAGTAGCTCCAAGGTCGTTAGCAACTGCAGTGGGTTTAGCGAGTCCAACAGATAGGAGCCAATAAATGGATTTAAGAACGAACGGTTCAGAATCCAAACCCTTTATAACCTATAAATTGCACGAGCTAGCAAATGCAACCACTTGAATAAAATACTTCTTCCGTTCTTAAATAAATGCAACGGTCAACATTTCACACATGTCGAGACACAACTTTGACCATTAATATAATTGATTTTGTATTAGTAAAAAAATTAAAAAAAATTAGATTATGAAAATTTACAATGAGACAAGTTTAACAATATTTTTTTCATAAAATAATATTATTACATTAATAAGTAAAACATAGTCAAAGTAGAACATGTGAATAGTGTAAAAGTCAAAGTGTTGCATTTATTTAAGAACGGAGGTAGTATATAGAAAGCGGCAAGCCCAAACAAAAGAAGTGGTAATCAAGGACCCATTCCCTCCGGAATAGGGGTGGGGAGTCCCAATAGTCGCTATACCGGGTCGCTCTGTGGTCCAATTCTTCTAAGGGAGTGTTTGCGATTGCTTGTGCTTTTTAAAAGTGATTTTTTTAAGAGATTATTGGAAAAGTGATTTGTAGTAAAAGTTGGTAGTGTTTGGGAATAGAAGTGATTCTAATTAAAATGTAAAAGTTGGAGTGTTTGATAAAAAAGTGATTGTGATGGTATATTTTAATGAAAAGTACAAAAATACCCTTTTTTAACATTTCCCACGTAGGTTAGCGATAAATTTGTTCTGCCCGATCCCCAAATCAGAATTCATCGTTGTTGAATGAAATACGCCGCTACTCCAGCCCCAGGTCCCGAAATCCGCAGCAAAGGCTTTTGTTTCCCAGATTTTGGAGCTTCCTTCTCAAATCAGGTAAGAATGTATTCTTCTACAACTCTGATTTCGTTTGTATATATATATATATTGGAGCTTCCGCCTCTACTCAAGGGTTTCTTTTCATTCTCCGTTGATTTAAACGATGTTGGAAGGAACAATGGGGATAAACAACCAAGGGAGGGAACGGAGGAGAAAGCCGGCGATGGTGAAGATAGCTTAGCTCTCACACGCAAGCAAATGAAGGGAGGGGAGGCAACGTTGAACTCTGGGACAGATAATACGTAAGATCGAGGGTAGGGCTGGAATAAGGCAAAATAATTGTGGTGAAGACTGTCCTTAAAGTTGATGTTATTTACAAAATAACCTGGAAGCAATTAAAAGCACCCCCAACCCTACTTCTAACTTTTGGCTTCTAAGTGCTTAAATTTAAGTTGAAAGTTGGGTATGCAAACACCATTTTTGGCTATTTTCTTAAAAAAAAGCTAAAAGCACTTTTGAAAAGAGTTTGCAAACACACCCTAAGTTGTAAGATAGTGTTGGAGTGCTTAAGTACATTATCAAACACCTTTTAAATACAGAGTAGTTAGGGTGGCCGGGTGGGTTTACATGAGAGTGTGATATGGTCAGAATTGAAAATACATCATCCATTCCTTCAACCATGTGAACACTTTAAGCCAACAAACACTACTAGAAAGAGTGCAATTAGAAAGGAAGCAAATTCATACCTAAATGACCTATATTCTTTTCTAACTAGACTAGCAAGGAACCTGCATAGGAAATGGAATTCCTCTCTAAAACCCTCCTCGCTAATTTCAAATTCCTTTCTATATTCCTCTCTAAAAATGTGGGTCACCAAAATACATCATTCCTATCTAGTTTCCTTTGTAAAATTGTGGGTCACCTGGTCATTTACTAAACATCTGAGAGGAGCACGGTTCCTTTCAAATTTTTATCCTAAAAATATAGAATAAACAAAATAAAAATGAATTTAATTTCTCATAATTATATATATATATATACATACGGAGTATATAATACACACACCAACCGTACAATCGTATATAGCACATCGTAAATACCACTTTTTATTAGAAATATACAATCAATTTGGAATTACAATTCAATATTACAAAATGTGAGTGACTATACTACTTAATTTCAAAAGCTACATATATTAGCCCATAAACACATAGAAAGATTAAATAAGTTCACATTCATCATTGATCTTGAGGCTATTCACATTCCGATTAATATCATTACTCTAATTCCTTCTTGAAGTTCATTGAAAGCTTTAAGCAACAAATCTTGAGGTTTCCAATTCCTTCTTTAAGTCCACGGGAAGCTTTCAACAACAAATCTTGAGGTTTCCCATTACAGCTTTGCACTTCAGCTCCCCAAAACTCAGCTGCAAATTTTCTGCGGACAAATAACAAGTTCTTTTTTGATTAAATATTTTGTTAATAAATACTGAAATAATTAATAATACTACCTACTCTTCCCATGCCCTAATCTTCCCCTTACAGCAACGTACTTTAAATAGATATTAGTGCCCATCTAATTACATTTATAAGGGTTTCTGGGCAAATCTTTGACTCTCCTTACTTCATTTGTAAATATTACACCATCTAAAGTAAGATCTACGCCTTGTAGTCTCCAAATGCATAATACCTAAATGGTCCAGACAATATGGTTAGTATATGGCCGTAATAAGAAGCTACAAGTAATTAAAATTCAAAATTTGATATTTATTGTAATCAAATCACTCTTAAAGTATAACTTCATACGGAGTATCAGTGAAATAATATTAATATCATAAAATCGAACTATAAATTCGCTCTCAACTACACGGTCCAATATGAGATAGCCAATACGGAGAAGGACTTGTAGCAGAAATCTGGAAAATTACACTTACCTTGGATAGAAGAAATTACACACAACACGAACACAGCAGAGAAGCAACAGAGATACAAGAAGACTTTCTGGCCGAACCCAGTGAAATTAATTACAGAGTATGCATAATTTTGCTCGGAAATTCTATTAGATTTGAAACCTCCGGAAGAACAAGCAGCCTTTAAGACCTAGATTAGGCCACTACCGTATGAAGCTTACGAACTCTGTTAGACCATTTGT